AAGAGCGCCCAGGTGCGCAGGTCCCTGGTGGTGAAGGGCGGCAGGTGGGCAGCCAAGCCGGGCACGTAGCCAGCGCGGCCCCTCAGCTCCGTGCTGCAGCGGTTGCGGTTGACAACTGGGAGGGGAGGAGAGAGCAGGTGAAGGGGGAGCCTGGGCGAGCCAAGAGCAGGAGCCTGCCCGGCCAGGGAGGCCCCTGGTTCGAGCCTGCGGGCCCCTTCCCCTGCCCCCCCCAGAGCGCCCGGCCTGCCAGCTTTACTAACCCACTCAGGCCAACGGCTTCACTCCCAGCCCCAGTGCACCGGGCAGAGGAGGGGCTGGAGCAATAGCCCTGCCCAGCGACGGGGAGTCTCAGGAGACCTGACTCCCAGCCTCTGCGTCCAGGCCTCTTCCTGGAGGGGGCACCGGGAGCAGCAAGAGGCCCCAGGGCTGGGCACTTACCGAACTCCTTTCCCAGGATGGGCTTGTCGCGCCACAGGAAGGCCCCCCACCTGGTGCTGGGCTCCAAGTACTGGGCAGGGACCACTGGGTCGTACCACGAGGCCTCCCGCAGGTGCTGAGCGTAGGCTGCGGGAGCGAAACAAGCGCAGCGCAGTCAGGGGGAGGGAGCCCGGCAGGCAGGGGTCTGGGCTCCGCAAACCCAGCACAGGGCAGGGATGATCTTTGCAGCCCAGAAGGTTCCTGCCCACTCCAGCCAGTTAACGAGGGGGTAAAGCCTAATTATTTATTAGCCTACTTCATGCAACTCTGGTTGGGCTGAGTAACCACAGGACAGATCCTGGTATTGTACCCATGTGAACGGCAGGCCTCATTAGTGTCCTGTGGCAAGGAGTTCCACAGGCTGATCTGCACACTGCTCAGACACCACGTGCAAAGCGCAACATTTTGCGCTCAGTTGTACTGCAATCCCCCATGTGCAAACACTGGCTTTAAATGCCAAGCAAATGCATTTCCCTGGCCCTTCCCCACTGCCCCAGTGCCTCGGTTACTTGAAAAATGATTTCCCAGAATGGCCCAGAGGCCCCTGGGGCTCAGGGCCTGGCCCCGAAAACTTCAGCCCCAAAGTCGGTTTCCCCAGCAGATACCAGTGGGCGACTTTGTGTTTCACTCCCTCCCGGGAGGGGCAAGCAGTGCCCAGCGAGGGAAGACGGGTCCCTGGAGAGAGAGGCTGGGGGGGGAGGGGGGCATGTGCCAGCCAGCAGCAAGGGCAATTTGCAGCCCCTGCCTTGCAGGAACCCTGCTGGTGCAATTTGCACCACACCCTGGCTCCGTCTGTGCTGAGCCTAATGCCCTGCGCCCGGTGTCCTGGCAGCCCAGAGCAGTACCCGCTTCCCGCCTCACCCTCCCAAACCCAGAGTCAGCTCCAGGCGCGGCCCGGCCCAGCAGCAAAGAGCTCGATCGCCCCCTGCTGGCCCACTGGTGCATTGTACAGAGCTGGAGGGCCCAGTGCTAGTCTCTGCCGTGCTCATGGGGGCCAGTCCCCTGCCGAAGCAAGAATGGGGGTGCGAGTCCTGCAGAGCATCAGGCCTTGACTTGCTTCCACTCTCCCCAGCCTTGGGGCCAGCCACTGCCCCGGGGGAAATCCTGCCGTTCCCTGGCAAGGCTGGGGCAAGCCCCACAGGGCCAGCCTCCAGCATCCACATGCACACACGTGGCCAAAGCGGGTTCCCGGGGCTGCCTGGCTCAGCTCTAGAAGTCCCTTTGCAGAAGGCCTGGCAGGGGCTAGGCTGGGGTTGTGCTGCTCAGAGCCGCGTGGTTCTTGGACTCCCGTGGCAGCCTGGGTGCAGCCCGGGTCTCGGCTGGGACCGGCAGAGCAGGGAGCGTCTCCTTGGGCTGTGTTTGCCCAGCACAGGGAGGGCTGGGCGTTAGGATCGCTCCCACCCAGCCCCCCACCCCAGGCCCGATGGGATCCCCGTTGCTCCGATCCCTCAGGGACACACACCAGAGCTATCGCTCCTGACACGCTATTGGCCTGCGGGGTGCAGGTGGCCAGGCCCAGCAGCTTTTGGGATACTGGGGCTGCTCCCTGCAAGTGTTTAACACTCGTCTATCCCCCGCTGGGGGCAGGAAGGCAGGGGGTCTCTCACAGCACTGCTCAGTGTTATTAGCCTGGTGCTTTGGGGGCTGCCTGGATGGCGCCGCGGGGCTGAAAACAGGTTTGCTCTGGGGCCTGGGAAGGACGGGGTCTCAGGCAAACAGCCATTGAGACTCCTGCTGCAGGGGGTTTGGTGCAATGTGGACGCCCTTGGAGGCCTGGTCTGGAACTGCGGGTTCTTTGCGCTAGGGGCTGTACACGCCGAGCGCAGCTGGGCCCCTGCTGCCCGGAGCCACAGCAGAGACTGGAGATGGCGGGGTGCTGCTCCATTTCCCACGCTTCCCAGCATCCTGTGCACGTGACTTACGGACCGTCCACGGGAGTAGCCGGCCAAGCAGCTGAGGTCAGTGGCCCACTGCCTTGGGGAGCACACTCGCGCCCAGAACCCCACCCGGGAAGCCCCGGCTCTGCAGTGAGCGGCACTGCTGAGCTGTATCCACCCAGCGGGAAAGCTGGCAGGGGAGGGGCATTTAGAGCAACCCCTGTGGAAAGATTTAAACTTTCTTATCACTGATAATCCAACGTCGCGCTGCCCCAGCCCTTTTCGTCAGGGCTGTAGGAACGTTTAGCCGCACGCCTCCCGTGCCAGGTAGCTCTTGCCCCGTTTCACACATAGGGAAACTGAGGCACAGAGCAGTTAGGTGGTTGGCCATGTAGCACGTTGGAGCAGAGGGGTGAAGGGAACCCACTATTCCCTGCCCCAGTGCCACACTCCGTTTAGCTACAAGCTCAAGCCTCCCCCTTGCACTTTTCCACCCAGCGGGAGGGAAACATTTGATTTTGCTCTGAAGCAGCCTTGTAGCTAAACTGAAACAGCCCCGACAGCACAGACGTGAGGTCACAAGGCGAGACCACAGCGTGCGTCAGACAAGGGCGTCTCCTCCACGGAGCTTAGGGCTTGGTGCTTGCGTCTAAGCGCCCAGGCTGGCCTAGGGCAGGTGGGCAGCCCCCCAACTCAGTTAGTGTCCTCACCGGTGCCCCCTTCCCCCATGGGAGGTGTTAGGAACGCTGGGGCAGCCCCCTGGTTCTTGGTGCTGGGGGGAGCTGTCACGGGCAGGGCAGGGAAACCGGCCTGTCCTTTCCCCGCACTGGGCCCGGCTGCCGAGCGAGGCCTCCACAGAACTCGGCCGCTCCAGGGGGTGCCCGGGTCCAGGGAGGGGCTCTGGCAGCTGCTGTCTGCACAGGGCCTGCCAGGGGCAGAGCAGTGGCCGTGGCAAGCGGCAGGTTTGAAGGCTGCAGGGCCCCTGTGGCAAACGATGCCGGGAAGGCTCTGGGCATGGTGCAGGCCCCGAGATGGAGGGCGCTACAGCGCCATGTGCACCGGTGCTCCCCGGCTCCATGCATGGCCCCGGCTCCCAGCCCCACCGCTTACCAGGGGGCAAGGTCTTCCGCTCCCTCCTGGCGTGGTCCTGGAACCAGCGGTGATAGGCCGCGCGGCTGATGCCGTGGGTGAGCGTGTACCAGGCGTCTCGGTTGTCGCTGTTGGTCAGCCCGGTGTACCAGGTCTGGGGGATGGCGTCTCGCCCCATGGGGGTGCACTTCCAGCGCACGGCCTGCTTGAGGATGGGGGCATTGCGGGGCCCACGCAGTGAGAGGAACTCATCACTGTGGGCAGAAAGGAGCCGTAAGGGCAGGGAAGATAAACCCAGCTCCTGCTCCAGGGAGCGCACGCCCCGGGCATGGCGGCGGAGCTCAGGGCTGGCTGCTGGCTCTGGGCTCAGCGAGCTGGGAGAGGAGCTCTGAGAAAGCTGCTCCCCACACTGGAGAATGGGGCACTCCAGTCCCAGGCTTCACGTGTGTGCCAGGCTCCGCCATGGGTCAGGACACGTGTGTGCCTGGCTCCGCCATGGGTCAGGACACGCGTGTGCCAGGCTCCGCCATGGGTCAGGACACGGAAGCGCACACCCCAGCTCAGTTGCCTAGCACCAACACAGCGTTGCTAGCTTCCCAGCGCATCACGGACCCCGCAGCATTCTGGGAGCAGAACATTCCCTCACTGGGGAAACTGAGGCCAGGGGAAGCGAAGTGACAGAGCTGGCCTAGCGCCCAGCCCCACTTCTCGCTGCCGGGCGAGAGCGGCGGCTTGTCACGAGAGCACAGGCCTGCGGCTGGACACTGGGAGGCTCCCACCTGTACAAGGGGGTTGGGAAGTCGGTCTCCAGTGTCCCCTGAGGGACGTATGGTCGGTCGGCCTCCAAGTCCATGCCCTCCGTGCCCACCTCCTGCGGGCCACGCCACCCCTGCCGGGCTCTGCGACTCCCTGTGGGCCAGCTGTCCTGCTGGGCCACTGTTGCCCAACACAAAGCCTGACAACCAGCCCTAGCAACCAGGCAGGCGGGCAAAGCAGGAGCAGAGACTCTCAGGCTGCAGGCACAGGGCTGCCTCCCTGGGGGCGAGATTCGGGACCAGCCCTTGCAGGAGAACAACGGGGTTTGCAAAGGCCTTCTCCATGCACCCGTGGCAGAGAAAAGAGGGTTTAATCCAGTCACCCATCTCAGCGGTGGCAGCTGGGAGCAGCAGCCCCCGCCCCCGCAGAGACCCTTGCTGGCTGCTTTTCACTCAAGCAGCCCGCCCCAGGCTGGGGCGTCACACCTCACCCGGCTGGGGCAGACTCGCTCAGTCCACCCCCGTGTGTCTGGCCCGGCTGGGGGGGGGCCT